TAGTTTAGAATAGTAAGCTAATATGAACTATATATATATTATTTTATTAAATTAATATATTATATTTAATTTAATTAATACTAATTTATTTATATTTATTTTTATAATATTAGATATTATTTTTAAAATAAGTTCTAGTGAAGAAGATTCTAGCATATCAACTTTTACTATAGATAAAGGCAAAAAAAATATTGGTGGTCATTCATATAGTCCAGTTTGGAAATATTTTACTAGAAGAGAAAAGGTAGCAAAAGAAAAATATAAAGCAACTTGTAATTTGTGTGAAACATCTTGAAATTGTGATGAACTAGCTGAATTAGAAAGTCATCTAGCCAATCATTGTACAAAAGCAGATCCAACAATTATAAGAAAATTTCTTACAAGAATTCTTTCAAATAATTTAGAAAAGATGAATCTAATAAAAAAAGAAAAAGTAATACTCAAGAAAAACTTGATCAATATATTAGTATAATAGAATTAGATCAGCAAAAAATCAAAAAAATTCATCTTGCCTGGGCTAAAACTTTTGCTATTTGTAGAATTTCTTGAAATATTATTGAAAATCTTTTTTTTATTGAAGTATTAAAAGAAACAAATTTATCTTATAATTCACCAACATGTTAATATTTATCAGCCTATTTGTTAGAACAACAATTAGCTATTATAATCAAAAAACTAATAAAATATTTCAACAAATTCAAATTTAACCTTAGGTAAATATATTTTATATATTTTTTAAATAAATAAATTATAACTAATTAAATTTAATTTAGCATTAGATGGTTAACTAATAAGAAAAATTATTCAATATGGAATTTTATAATTATTACTCTTGAACATAAAGAATATTTATACAAACTTTGTGATTTTTCAAATGAAATATATACAGGACAATTTTTAGCTGACAAAATTAATAAAGTTTTAGATTCTGTTAATATAGATCATTTTTTAGCTATAGTTAGTAATAATAGAGCTAATGTTAAACTTGCACGAAGTATAATTTCATCACAACATCCACATATTTTTAGTATAAGATGTATAGCACATGCAATAAATTTAGTTGCACAAGATATTTTAAAATTTGAATAGGCAAATCAATGAATTAAAAATTGCAATATTATATATAGCTTTTTTAAATCTTCATATCGAGCAAGTATATAATTCTATTTTTATTTAATTTTAAAATTTATTTATTATATTAATTATTATAATAATTATTTTAATAAATTTTATATATTAAAGGAGCTGAATTAAGATCTTTAATAGAAACAATGAATATAGTTGGTGAAGGTCTTAAAAATTATTCAAAAACAAGATGGACAACTGCAAGTGATTCAATTGAAAGTATATTACATTTAGAAAAAGTTTTAAAAAAGGTAATAAATTAAATTTTATAATATTATTAATAATTATTAATAAACTATTATTATCTTTAGATTGTTGATGATGGAATATTAACAAATGATCAAATTAATTCTATTATTAATTGTTATAACTTTTTTATTAATTTAAAAGTATTAAATTTTGTACTATTACCTTTAAAAAAATTAATTTTATTATTAGAAAGTAAAAATGCAAGTCTTGAAGATTGTTTTTTAAGTTTAGCAAAAACAAATATAATAATTAAAAAAATATCAATATAAAAAAAATATACTGGATTTTGACAATATTGTTTCAATATCTTAAATAAATGATTTGAAGAATTTAATGATGATTTATATATATTAGGATATTTTTAATGCCAAATTTTCATAATAAGTATAATTTATAGAAAAATTTTATTTTAATTTAAATTAAAATAACTTTTTTAAAACTTAAAATTAGTATAGATCATTAATATTAGTTAAGTTTTTATATTAAAAAATTCTGATTAGTATTAATATAATTTTGGTCTATACTAATACCAAATTTTAGAAAAAATTATTTTGATCTAAATTAAAATAAAATTTTTTTAATTTATATTTAAATTTAAAAATTATTTCTAATTTTATTTTATATTTTAGATTTAAGTTTTAGAATAAGTCAATTTTCTAGAATTATTAAGATTATTGGTTCTATTTGGCAAAAATTTAGAAAAGATCATGCAAGTTATAATATTTTAATTGTTCATCTTCGACTTTATAAAGAAAAAATATATCCATATAATGCATCATATTTTCAAGGTTATGATATTCCTATAACTTGGTAGAATACAATTGAACTAATACCAAATTATCTTCAAGAACTAGCATTAAAAGTTTTGGCAATTACTTCAAATAGTGCATCATGTGAAAGAAATTTCTCTTTACTTACTTGGCTAACTAGAAATAGATGAACACAAATAGATATTCAAAAATTAGAAACTATAGCAAAATTATATACATATTATAATTCTAATACAAGAAAGAACTTTTTTATTTTGCAAATGAAATGACTGAAAATGAAGTTTTGAAAATATTAAATCAAATAAATATTGAAAATTTAGAAAAAATATTAGAAGAAGAAGAATTAGATAAAGAT